GAGAGAGATGAAACAAAATCCTAACTACCTCATAATTTCCATATTAATCATTCTATTTAAAAACTATAGTTAAAAATTAGTAGGTAAAAATATTTATCATAAAAAACTTAGGGTAAATCACTAACACACACTAAAATTATTTATTACAATTCTCCCCTTTACATGAAAAATTATGCTAACCCCTGGTACATTTAATTATGTATATGATCATTACGGTAAGGAGGAACGTATGCAACTTAAATCTCAGGAGCAATCTATAATGAAACTTTAAACTTTAGGAAAGGGGTGTAGTTCAAAAAGGTGAGAAGGGGAACTATATAAACATAAAATCTCAAGGGGTGCAAATGAATTATCCCAAAAATAAGGGTAAATTACTTGACACCCTCCTAAGGTTATATATATTACAGTTCCCCTTCACCTTTGGGAAATTAACTCCTTCCTGAGATTTAAAGTATTCATACAAGATCTCTCTTTTCAGTAATTTCATTTTTTACAATACGAAATTTGCCCTCCCCCCACTGGTAAATTATACATTGATACCCCTCACATTTAAAAATTACACATTGTTTGGTAACGTTTACGTTTTCAGTTTTATATTACAAAAATTTTATAAACTGTTTTTGTTTATTTTTCTGAAAAAACATAAACTACAATATCGCGTCTTGGTCAATTGGCAAAGATGTTTAAAAAATTTTAAAAACAATATAAAAAAGAGTGAGAATATGGCAAGTGGTGGCGAGTGGCGAGTGGGCGGAAAACAGTGGTGGACAGTGGTACGGTGGGGTGTGGGAGTGGTAGCTGGTGGTGGTTGTGGGTGGTGTGACCGGTAGCGGGTGGGGCTGTAGCGAGTGGGGTGGTGTGGTAGTGCGGTAGTGGCTGGCATGCGGGTGGTGGCCGGCTAGGTGGTGTGCAAAGTAAGGTGGCGGGTGGTGGGTAGCGAGTGGGTTGGCGGATGGCGGGTGGTGGAGTAGGTGGTGTAGGGTGGGATGGGATGTGGTGGGTGGGTGACGGTGGCGTGGTGAGTGGTAGCGAGTGGGTGTGATTTGGTGGTGGAGGTGGGTGGCGAATGGTGCAGCTGGGGGGGTGGGTGGGACGGGCCAGTGGTTGTGCGTAGGTGGTGGGAGTGGTGACGGGTGGTGGTGGGTGATGTGGGGTGGTGGTGGCGGTGGGTGGTGTGATGGTGGGCTGCTGCGTGGTGATGGTGGGGCTGGTGGGGTGGCGGTGGGGTGTAGGTGGTTGGTGGTGGGGTGGGCGGCGGTGGTGGCAAGTGAGTGGGAGTGGTGGTGGCAAGTAGTGGCGGGTGTAAGTGCGGCGGGATATGTGGTAGTGATGGGCAGGTGGGTGGTGGGTGTGGTGGTGATTTTTTTTTTTTTTTTTCTGTTGTTTGTGGTGGTGGTGGTGGTGGTGGTGGCGATGGGTGGGTGGTAGTGGTGAGTGGGTGGCAGGTAGGTGGTCCTGGTGGCCTCGTGCTGGTGGTGATGATGGTGGCTTGGTGGTACAGGGTGGTGAGTTGGTGGCAGGTGGTGGTGGGTGGTTGGTGGCGGACAGGACGGTGGTGGAAAATTGGTGGAGTGGTGGCTAGTGTGGCGTGGCAAAAAAAAACTCATAAACGGAAACACATTTTTTTTGTGTTTCATTTTTGGCCAATATTTATAAACTGAGACCACATTTATAAATCAAAAATTTTACCAACAGTTTTTATTTGAATTTTTAAATTTTATTAAATATAACAAAAATTAAAAACATAAAGTGTTACAAACGACACCTTAGGTTTAAAGTAGCATTACCAATTGCCCCCTCGGTTAGTATTAGTTGAAAAAAAAAATCATTGAAAAAAAAATTTTAATGGAAAAACAATTAATTGAAAAAAAATTTTGTTAGTTAAAATTTTAAATTTTTGTTTAAAAATCAAACGTAAACATTCATTTTTTGAATTTACGTTTTTTTCTCAAATTTACAAACTGAGACAACCATTTATAAACTAAACAAAATTATCAAACAAGTTTTTTTGACACTTTTTAAATTTTTGTAAATATAAATTGAAAATTAAAAACGAAACGATTACCAAACAAGTCTCGGATGGTAAAAATGTCGTAAAATTAACAAATAATTAAATAAGTTACTAACGTAAGAAATGACTTATCAAAAGATTCTTAGACTATGTATAGTTTGAGTTTTAGAAAAAAAAAATTTAAAAATTAAAAACTAATTTGGTTAAGAAATAAAAAATAATTATCATTTAAGGATAAAAAATAATTATCATTTTAACTTTTGAGCAGGTTATATACATACGTATGATCGTTTCAATTTAATTTGTAAAAAATTATTTCTAACCACTTGACAGATAAAAATTGTATAAAAATGATAATTATTTTTTATTTTTTATTTCTTAACCAAATTAATTTTTAATTCTTAAAAAAAATTCTAAAAATCAAGCAATACATAGTTTAAGAATCTTTTGATAAATCATTTCTTACGTTGGTAACTTATTTAATTATGTGTTAATTTTACAACATTTTTACCATCTGAAGCCTATTTGGTAACCATTCCATTTTCAGTTTTCAGTTTGTATTTACAAAAATTTTAAAAACTGTCATAAAAATTTGTTTCATAATTTTTTTGGTTTATAAATGGTTGTCTCAGTTTATAGATTTGAGGAAAAAACATAAACTCAAAAAATGAGTTTACGTTTTCAGTTTTCAATTTTTTTTTTCAATTAATTTTTTTTCAAATAATTTGTTTTCCAAATAATTTTTTTTCAATTATTTTTTCCAAAAAAAAATTTTCCAATTAATTTTTTTTTCAAATAATTTTTTCCCAATTAATTTTTTTTTAATTAATTTTTTTTCCAATTATTTTTTTAATTAATTTTTTTTCAATTATAATGTGTGTGATTCCATTATCATAAATAATAAAAATAAATATAAATTAGTTTATGCTTTTAAAATTTTTTAAACATTTTATTCAAACCAAACGCGTTTATAATTTATGTTTTTCTTAAAATAAACAAAAACCAATTTATAAAAATTTTGTAAACATAAACCAAAAGCGTAAACATTATCAAACGCTACCTAAACATTTTGTATTCAGTTTTCAATTTATATTTATAAAAAATTTAAAAACTGTCAAAAAAATTTGTTTGATAATTTTTTTGATTTATAAATGGTTGTCCTAGTTTGTAAATTTGAGGAAAAAATGTAAATTCAAAAATGAGTTTACGTTGGTTTTTAAACAGAAATTTAAAAATTTTACTAACAATTTTTTTTTCAATTAATTTTTTTTTCCAACTAATGCTAACCAAGGGGGCAATTGATAATTCTACTTTAAACCTTAAGGAGGGGATTGTAATTTCCAAAATGTGAGGGGTGTCAATGTAATTCACCAAGTGAGGGCAAAATTGGTATTTAAAAAAATTAAATTGCTGAAAGGGAGAATCTGTAATGAACCTTAAACCTCAGGGAGGGTGATGTAATTTCCAAAAGGTGAGGGAGGAACTGTAATAAATATAAACCCTAGGGGGTGTCAATGTAATTTACCAAAAAATTAAAATGATTAGATATTAGGGTAAATCCCAAATCACTATTTGTTGCACCATTTGGTCCTGCGGTTTATTTTATAAACTAATAGGTTCTATCGAAATGGTAAAGACGCTTAGGCCCATGATGTTAGCGCGTGTCTTGCAAATTGTAAGGGGTAATTGTGGGGTTTTGATGATGTTAAATTTACCAAATTGACTATAAAGCGTATTGTAGTGTTTTTTTGGCTTCCCTCTTTCTCGATCAAAACATATTAGAGGAATATGGAAAGTTTTGTACTGCTCTCAATGTTAGGGGAATGATGATCATCCCAATATTTTGAAATCCCTTGCTGGCAACGATAATCAGTCGAGAAGATTACCAAAATTTCTATTCGTGGCCTTCACCCAAATCGTAGAAACACTTGGAAATGAAATTCTATGACTTGGTCATGAGAGAGAGATGGAGAGAGAGAGAGACTGACTGTGTGTTTAGGCAAAAACTCTATTTTGAAAGAGAATTAGGTAAAAAGGGTACCAATATGGAGAGAGGAGTGATTCGCGGCGTCATTCCTAATTTCCATAATTTGAATATAGATAAAAAATTTAT